ACACCAAATCACGCCTTATTCATCACCGTAAAATGTACTCCAAAACTGGTTTTTGAGCCAGCTCATCATTACTGGGTGCCTCACCTACCACCCACAATATCTACTCTGGACCTATATATATTTTTGTTTTTGGGTAGTAAGTGTTATTTCCTAATTGCTTATGCCTCAAAAGGACAGAAAATGGCTATTATTCCCATAAATTTTGCTTTTGTGACCAGGACAGTGATATTTTTAATTTACCCATTTTCCAGAACATTCCAGATAGATTCAGTGCAGAGTAAACTTGGAGTAACTTCTAGAACATTCTAGAACTTTCCAGTAATATAAATAGTATAAATACAGCGGCCTTAAGTCCACCAGTGCAGTTTAGTTCAGCTGCCTAAGTGGATACATATCTGCATTTTTCTGAGATGGCATCAAGAGGCTGCACGCATCCGGCAGATGCATTTTGGTATGTCTGTGGCCAATTTACCAAGACAAAAGTATTCTGTGGAAGCATCTGCTAAGATGTGTGCGGCCTAAAAGGCATATTTCAGCATGCCTGTCGGGGATCAAGACAAATGCTGGGCACCTCATTTCACCTGCGAGCAATGCAAAACAACTCTGGAAGGTAAGATGGACAAAATCGATTAAGGTGATGCGAGTTAATGAACTTGTGGCTCTCGATAACAGGGGTAACAAATTCCTGTTGGTGGGGGTGGAATATTTTTCACATTGGCCGATGGCTTGGCCCCTGCCTGACCAATCGGCATCGTCCATCACCGATGCATTCCTGAACGGTTATGTGATGGACAAAGGTGCTCCGGAACGGCTGCTTATGGACCAGGGCCGAAATGTCTCATCCAAGTTGCTGCGGGATGTGTGTGATGCCTTGGGCACAAAAAAGATACGCACTTCACCTTACCATCCGCAGACAGATGGGATGGTAGAACGATTAAACCATACCTTGTCGGCTATGCTCTGTCACACGGTGAGTGAAAAGCAGGCCGATTGGGACCTTCACATTCCTAGTGTACTGTCTGCCTTATGGCCCCGCATGCTTCTACGGGTTACTCACCGTTCTTCCTCATGTACGGTCGGGAGAACGTGCCGCCGATTGGCGTGCAACTGGGAGTTCCCGCTAAGGAGCCCGCGCTGACCCTAGCGGAACATGTCCACGATTCGGTTCGCCGTGTCACAGCAGCACGCAAGGCAAAACCCAGGCCCGGAACGAGCGATGCGCTCATCGGTAGCGACGCGACATGCCATGGGCTGTGGGAGACCGGGCCTGGTTCCATTGTCCCCAGGTGCCGCTGGGTACTTCTCCCAAACTACACAGGCCATGGGAAGGGCCTGTCGACTTGATAGAAATACGCAATCCTCAATGTGTACGTAACCGGGCGGGGTTGCTCCGTTGGTACGTCCACATGTCTCATTTAAACCCTTCTTTGCTCCGCGTGTTGACCCTTCATCCTCATTGATTACCCTGCCGGGGTCTGATGCATCCGATGTGCCACCTCGGTTGCCAATTGATCCCCAAAAGGGGCCTGTTTTGCCTCCCACAGACTCACAGGCCCTGAACGCCGCGGCTGGCTGAGCCTTTCCCCGCCACGACGGATGTTGAACCTTCTGTTCTTCCGCCTCCTGTTACGATGGAACCGGCGGGGCCTCGTTCTACTGCTGGGGATGGACCGGCATCGCATACACGTTCCAGATCTGTTCCCTTTTGTTGATGGTTGTTCTTACTTATATTGCATCGCGCGTTCGTTATGCATCTTAATGTTTTACTGTGTTGTGTTGTGAGTGTTATTCGTACTTACCTTTAGTAGTGCATTCGTTATGCATCTTAATGTTTTACTGTGTTGTGTTGGTGAGTGTTATTCGTACTTACCTTTAGTAGTGCGTTTGTTATGTGCCTTATTGTTGTTGTTGTGTTGTTCCTCATTCTCAGTGGCTCTCGTATTGCGCGTTGCTTCGTTCCTAGCCGGGACGGCTAGTCTTTTAAACCAGGGGGGGGGGGGGGAAAGTGATGTAATACGAGAGTTCACCGGCGGTCGCCGATCGGTGGGATAGGCTCTGCCGGTTCAGCCATCAGCTAATCGGATGGATGCGCCAAGTTCAAGGGCGGAGCTCAGGGGTTCTTCTGGGTAACCATCTAGAAGGTTCGTGAGGGGGCGTGCCTATAGGCGGGGCTTGGTGACGTGGGTGAAGGGTTATAAGGGGAAGCAGGAAGCAGCTCGGGGTCAGTGTGTGGAGTCTAGAGGCGAGACCCACGTCTCCGGCACGCCAGCGGCCACGTGGTGAGCCGGAGGCCGCCTCCTTGCGCGCCGTCTGCTAGCGGCGCGCGGGAGCGGAGCGTGAGCGAGCCGTGCGCGGAGCGGCAACGTCGAGCTGTGCGCGGAGCGAGAGTGGAGCGGGGTCGGTGTGAAGAGAACGCGGAGCTGTCCGGCCGACGAGAAATAAATAATTGTTCGCCTGATGACGGACGCTTGTGTTGCGTCCGAAACGTCGTGATTTATTTAATTTTATTTCTAACTACGTGACTTTACCGAAAGAACCAAAGAGTATGGATTCCTGCAGTCACGAACGCTTCAAGATTACCACTTTACCATCTGTATTGCAACATAATGCTCAGCTGTCGATTATGAGAACTTCACTTGTATTTGCATTTGACATATATCCTTGTCTGTTTACGTAATACAATGTCCATAATACAATGTGTCTGTTTCGATTCTAAACTTTCGTGACTGCAGGGATTCATCTTCTTGGTTCTTTCGGTAAAGTGACGTCGAAGGGAAATAATAAAATAATACAAATAAAACAATATGTCTTGCCTCACGGCAGATGTGGAGCGTACGTTCACAGGAAGTTGCTGTTTTTTTAATGCTAATTTTGGTCACGTGACCAGGAAGTCACGATGTTAGATTTTCAGTGAACCACGCGGGCATCGGCCATCTTACTCATAATTCAAGATGGCGGCACGCATCGCATCTCAGTGAGACCACAGCCGCACTTATCCATTGTGGGAGCTTAAGAAGCATTGTCTGTAAGTTTGTTTATATGCCTATAATATTGGCAAGGCTGTTGTAATGTTGGAATGACCGTTATAGTGATGTAAATGCCTTTATGGTGCCGTTAAGTTGTTGTAGTAAATACGAGGCCTAGTTAGTAACGAAGCCTGCGACTTTCCTTATTGTGGATGTTACTTGTGATTTAGTAGGTCGTGTCAGACTTGTGCCTATGTTGCGATCCTGAGAGTAAAGATGACGAAGTATCTCATCCACAGTTTAGTGTTATGTGTAATACTGTACATTTGGGGTGCAGTGGGATGAATACACGATGTGCCTGTATGCAACGCACCGGCTTGTGCTCTTGTCTAGCTGTTCAGTGGTAATGTAGGGGCCTGGTCCGTCCAGGATCTATTGTTATCTAAGACAATGTTCTGATGCTGTGGTGTTCATTGTGTTTGTGTTTCCGGATTATAACAGATGCTGTATCTGTGTTTTCTCACCAGTTTTACCTGTTACAATCAATAAATGACGATTGGAGTTGGACGTTCATCCTGGCTCCGAGGGTTTATTGAACGCAAGGTTATCTACTCGACTAGCGGTGCAACGCAGCGCACAGCGAGGCCGAGATACAATAAAATAAAATTCTCACGACGTTTCGGCCACAACACAAGCAGCCGTCAGGTGAAGACAGAGCTGTCTGAAAGACAGCGCTCCAATGAACACTGCTAAGCTTGGCAGCGTATTTTAAGCTGGGTTGGAGGAGGAGAGCGCCTTGACAAAGGAGTTTATATATCAACAGAAGAATTTAGCATTGAATAAGCTGTGTTAATGTGAGAGAATTAGCAGAATGTTGCAACCACCCACTATCATACAAAGTTCTTTCACATCGGTTTATTGTATGACAGTGGGTGGTTGCAGTTCTTTAGCGTCAATATACTAAATGCCTCTGTTGATATGTAAACTCTGACTTTAACATAGCCACTTTCGTGACCAGTTACATGCTAATTCCTCACATCAACATCATGCTAATCTCCCAGTTACATGCTAATTTCTGACTTTAATATCCTGCTAAATCTCTCACATTAACACAGCTTATTCAATGCTAAATTCTTCTGTTGATATGTAAACTTCTTTGTCAAGGCGCTCTCCTCCCACCCAGCTTAAAATACGCTGCCAAGCTGAGCAGTGTTCATTGGAGCGTTGTCTTTCAGCCAGCTCTGTCTTCACCTGAGGACGGCTGCTTGTGTTGTGGCCGAAACATCGTGAGAATTGTATTTTTATTATTTTATTATTTCCCTTCTACGTGACTTTACCGAAAGAACCAAGAAGACAATGTGTCTGTTTAATGTTTGTGATCACCTCCGATTTACACGTTTGGCTATGTATGGTGCGAAAGAAATTCAACATACAGCACATACATATTGTGCATACATTTTAAACCAGATTTTATTTATTGAACTACGTCTAAAAAATAACGTGCTCTCTTGAGTTTTGACCTCGTTAAACAAAATCAACTCGAAACTTTAACTTGCTACGTGATAAGCACGAGAGTAAAATGTCCACGTGAATGATTAACTGTATTTTCCTCACCAATCATTAACCAGGTGCCAACGCTCCCTTCACCCGCAGCAGCAGCGATACAATTCCAGTATATTGCACACTTGCTCCTCGTGTAGGTCTATATTAGGATGATTTATTTCAATTGGCAGCCTAGGGGCAATTTCGTACGCTGCTGTGACCGCGTTAAACCTTCTATTCTAAAAATTATTGAACCATTTATATTTTAACAACATTATTAAAGAAGACTTCTGGAGAGAGAAATTAACTCACAATCATTTACTAAAATACATCCATTTTAAACGGTTACATGTTTTTTACATGCCAAGTTTCCCCCCCTAATTGGATGCTCTCAATCGGAAGCAGAAGCTGCCACCATCACCAGCTGACCCGTGCACGGGGGGGGGGGGGGGGGGGGCGATGGTCAGAGGTGAACGCCTCCCCACGCCCGACGCACTCCCTCGGCACAGCACGAAAAGCCGCGCGACTCCAACTCGCAGTCAGTCCTCCCAGCTCCCCTGAAGGTAAGTTTGTACCAAACGTTTGCGGTTCTTGTGCTTTCTCCACTCCTAACCTCTAATTCTCCCATCATCACCACCACGTGAGCTTTTCAACACAAATACGACGCGATTTTATTATTGGGTGATTCCGATAACGACCCTCCCGAGTTCAGTGATCGATTTGAGATACAATCAACTCAACGTAACTCTCAATCGAGCTTTACGATTCAATTCCGTTGTGGATGACCATTGTAATTACGTCAAATGAACATTCCACTTAAGACTGGCACAGCAATGCATGCACCAGCGGCATGAGACATGCAAGACGTGGTGCTCGTGCCCCCCGCGGCCAATCAATGGGCTGCGTCTGCAGCTGAATCGACATGTGGAGGTTTCTGCGACGTTCAGAGCGTGAAGGAGAAGAGACGAATCGCAATGGAATTCGTCCGCTGTGCTGCCCGACGGTATATGACCCCCACCAATTGTCACAAACCTTGGTTGGGTAGCTTTTGGCACTGACGGCCTTAAAGCAAACGATTACCTTTAGATCCCGTGGAAGATAACGCCCGTTTTATTTGGACACGCGTAACGCATGAAACCATTAAATATCATCACCATCGCTACTTTCTGCGTAGCGGCGTAGCAGGTGGACGCGTTGACTCGTTGACTCGCCAGAGTGTCTGCAGCTACAACACGAGCGGTGCACCGTCTCAGCATTTGTATTGTGCTGTGCAACGGTGCTACTGAATGCGTGATACATTTTAAAAGCCCGCAGGCTGTGTTTGATTTATTGGATTTGTTGAAGCGGATAATACAATTTCATTCTTGATTTGAAGCTTTCGTGACTGCAGGAATCCATTCTCTTTGGTTCTTTCGGTAAAGTCACGTAGGTAAAAAAAATAATAGATAACAATAGATCATTATCTTTCTACCTGCGTGACTTTACGGAAAGAACCAAACAGTGTAGATTTTAAATATTATTCAGTGTATCGTACATTGTAATTGTAATAACGTGATGCTATGTATTGTTTAGTACAACTAGCGGGAAGTACCCGGCGTTGCCCGGGTCTTAAAAATATTTCAAAACTAGTCTTAAAAATCGAATAGCAGTGCGTACTAACTGTGGTGGTACCTTCTATGATGACAGCAGTGCATACTGAGTGTGGTGGTACCTGCTACATCTAGCGACTGTATGGTAGTAATAACTGCACGCATCGGGGTGGGGAAGACATCACACAGTGAAGAATTAACCTGCGCGTTTAGTGTATTTTTATAGTATTTTTAACGTGAAAGAAAATGTCCCCCTCACTCCCACCGAAGGTGTGCGACTTGGCATGGGCCGTCCCCCCACCCCCAGCAAAGGCGCGTGAGTTGGTATGGTCGTGCACGCGTCATGAATAAAAAAATGATAGTGAAGCGCACAAAAATCGCACTAAATCGCTAATGAAACGAATTTGAAGTTGACGGATGTAAAAGAAGCAATAGCGCTTGCTGATCGCGGGGCTTACGGCGTGGTGCCTGGATATTCTTTTTTTTTACATAAAACCCCACCGTTGGAAAGGCTAGCGCGCGACCACACACAAACTCACAATTTTTGACTTTTATATTTATATATATATAGATATAGATTTGTGTACAGTACTAGCTGGGTTGTTCATGACATTACACATCGCACTATCTACTGTATAAAGCTCAGATATAGTGCACGTGTGATGTGTAATGTTACATACCCTCGCCCTGTACTACAGCAGAGCTCTATACGGTAAATGGTGAGGGTATTTTGAGAAAATAATAAGAAGAAGTGCCTATCGTCATAGAAAACTCACGTAGGTGATGAATCGTACATAGTGAAATAATAGAGCCGTTGATGAGGTGTCAACCATTAATGTTGTGCAACAAAAGCACCGACGCATCAACATTGCGCATACTCGTCCTGCGCTCTTTCCCACAACACGGTACAGATGCAGTACATGATTATACAATTGAGAATTCGAATAACATTGCTGGACTACAAAAGAACACGGAGTATAAAGCAGGCGCTTTCTGGCACACACGCACAGAACTACTAACTTTTATATACAGGGTGCTTACATTTGTTTTACCACTTCTTATAATTTGCAACAATACGACGTGAAATGTGCCGCCTCCTGTGTTGACAATGATGGCGTACAAGTGGAGACTCTTTGTCTTTTTGAAGCTGTTAACATTCATTTGTTATCATGTTACAGTGTATTGTCCGTTTTTTTCCATTAAAAACTATCGTCCCATATAAGGGTTAACAATTTTTTTAAGCACCCTGTATTTTGATTTAAAGCTCTCGTGACTGCAGAGATTCATATTCTTGTTTTTTCGGTAAAGTCACGTAGAAGGGAAAAAAATAAAATAATAAAAATATAAAACAATAAAACAATCAAAGTCGAAATGTCGTGAGAATTATATTGTTTTATATGTTTTTAATTTTCTTTTTTCCCTTCTACGTCACCCTGTATTTGTTTAACTTCCTTGTACCTGCACTTATATCAAGTTGCTGAACTGTTTGTTGTTGTAACATTCTTAACCCGTGCCTCTACGGGACATCTGTGAAAAAGAGCTTTATTGCTCATGGGTTTGCTCCTGCAGTATAAATAATTTTTATCCTGATGTAAGTCGGTCCAATGATGCCAAAATAGCATGTGCACTAATATAATACACCGTGTTACGGTGTATAAAACCCTGGATCCAAGCTCCACAGCCCTTCTAAGGGCTGTGGCTCAGTGAAGCCAGTGGTCAAGACCCACAGACCGAGTGGTCGGGTCAGTCAGCCTCCCCTAGGTCCCCGAGGCTGGGGGGTAGGAGGCTGAAGAAACTGGAGATGCGGATATGAAGTCAAACTATAACGCAGTTAAGGTTTTACCTGGTTAATAACATCCTTCCAATGATTGCTCAATTTGTATCCATCTTCTCGGTTGAAGTTATGTCTATGTTTATATATCTGGATTGCTTCATGAACAAACCTTTGATAGTATCCCGAAGGTTTGCAGAGTTCCTTGGTCTCGGAAAAAACAATATCATGAGAGCCCACAGCATTATAGCAATGGTCAGCCACGGCGGAGGTATTAGTCCTGCCGTGTTTCAGATCTGCCTTGTGCTCGCGAACACGGTCCGACACATGCCGTTTCGTTTCCCCAATGTAACAATCACCACAGGTGCAACTTAGTTTGTAGACTCCAGGATATTGCATGTCAGGAATGACATCCTTCACAGATGGGATTAGATCACGGATTTTGTGTACTGTACTGAATCGGACCTGGATCTTGTATTTGTTTAAGATTTTGGCAATCTTTTTGGTAACGCCTGCTATGTATGGTAACGTGATGGTTATGATCGGCATCTCAGGGGGTTGTTTCTCCATGGTTGGAGAAACCGCTTTGCGGATAATGCGGTCCGAATATCCATTCATCTTAAGGGCCTGGTGTATGTGTTCCAGTTCACTGGCTAGGTGGTTTTGGTCAGAAATGCAGTGGGCCCTATGGTGTAGTGTTTTGATGAGGGAATTTTTCTGTGCCGGATGGTGGTGGGAATCAAGTTTCAGATAGGAATCTGTGTGGGTGGCTTTCCTGTAGATAAAATGTCCCAAAGAGTCATCAGGTTTCTTCTAAAACAAAACATCCAGGAATGGTAGCTTACCATCTTTCTCTACTTCCATGGTGAATTTTATGGATGGGTGTATGGAATTAATGTGGTTGAGAAATTGGTTCAATGCCAGCAGGCCATGTCACCAAATGACGAAAGTGTCATCCACATATCTCTTCCACAAGGAAGGACATAAGGTGGAAGTCTGGATGGCATCTGTTTCAAATTTCTCCATGAAAACATTCGCTATCACTGGTGATAAGGGAGAACCCATGGGGGTACCTTCATTTTGTTTGTAGAAAGTACCATTCCAGGTGAAGTAAGTGTTGGTAAGGCAGTGCCTAACCAGAGTAGGAGCATCAGGGTTCAGTCCATGTTGGACTAAATCTTCAATTATTGCTAATGTGTCAGGCACTAAAACCTTGGTGAACAGAGAAACTACATCAAAGCTGACGAGAAGATCATCTGTGGACAGTGAAATGCCCTTGATTAAAGAGACCAAGTGAGCTGAATTACGTACTGCTGAGGTAGTCTTGCCAGTGAATTGAAGCAAGGCATCAGTCAGAAAACGGGCCAGCTTGTAGGTAGGTGAGTTGATAGTGGAAACTATGGGGCGAAGTGGAGTGCCTTCTTTATGGATCTTAATTTATTTTATTTTATACCTACGTGACTTTACCGAAAGAACCAAAGAGTATGGATCCCTACAGTCACGAAAACGTCAAATCTAAAAATGCAGCATGCATCAGTGTGGGGATCGATCCCACGATCTCTTGTAGGCCAGGCCAGGGAGTTAACATCTCACCGCCATGGCACCCCAATTTACCCAGGAAAGCCTCACTCGTTCTCAATAATTTTCAGGAGGATCTTGCCACGTTTTCGCAGGAGGGGGTTATGTTGTGTGTACCCCCAATTGAGTATTGTAATTTGCAGATATATTTTCAGCATACTGATGTTTGGCCAATAGCATTGACACGGGGTTTTTTTTATATGGGAGGAAACCAGGAAACCCAGAGCAAACTCATGCACTGTATTTTTCAATTATCTCGTACTGTATGTAGCCAACCATGGTAATCGGAAGTGCGGGGGAGGAATGTGGGGGGTGGCGGGGGGGTGTTGGGGTGGGACCGACGGACTTTTGCTTCCACCAACAGACAATGACATTACAGTGCAGTGCAATATATGACTTTAGTTGTATATTTGAGGTAACAGTGGAACATTTGAATGTTAAGTTGATTTAAACAAATCATGATATCCAACTTCTTGGTTCTTTCGGTAAAGTCACGTAGAATGGAAACAATAAAAATAATAAAATAAAACATAATAAAATAAAATAATTCTCACGACGTTTCGGCCACAACGCAAGCAGCCGTCATCAGGTGAAGACCAGGTCTGTCGGGGAGACAGCGTCTGACGCTGTCTCCCCGACAGACCTGGCGTTGTGGCTGAAACGTCGTGAGCATTATTTTATTATGTTTTATTTTATAATTTTTATTGTTTCCATTCTACGTGACTTTACCGAAAGAACCAAGAAGATGAATCCCTGCAGTCACGAAAGCTTTAAATCGAAATCATGATATCCAAATTCACTTTCCAATGTTATTTTGTTTAACCAGGTGAGAAATCAAGACCAGGATGAGTCTCATTGCAAGAGGGACCTTGGACATAATCTGTCAGTAGCAGGGGCGATGACTGCTATCTGAAATTCCAATTCAGTAATATGCGGGTAATTTTTTTATTTCTCAAATGTGGACCCTGATGGTGACACGTGACGGCCTACTCTTGTGAGTGACGTCACAGTTTATATTTGAGATATTGTGCCCGCAGTTATAACCAGGGCGGCCATTGGAATTGAACCCGTTAAACTCTTTAACAACATACATAAATACATGCGACATGCTGGGCCGTGTCACATGTATGTATGTTCAGCTTTCGCGCCCTATTCGGTGGGCTGCGGAGTTATCGTCACTGTGTTTAATTACAGACTCCACTAACAAGCTGCTACAGGCCATCAGTAAGTCCAATGTGTATGGCCAATACAAGTTATTGGCTGAGGCCCTATACCTGTGCGAGGAGCTGGTGGAGATGCTGGCCATGCTGTCTGGGTGCTGGCCCGTGCACAGGAAGGTGAGCGCTCGTACCGCACCACCGATGAGTTACCACTAATCTCGTGCGTCTGTGCTGTGCTGCGTGAGTTCGTCCTGGGCGGCCGATAGATTGGAACTGTGAACCCTGTAACAAGTGGGGAACGTGCTCCCTGACAGGCCACGTGACCGGCCTAATCTAAGCTCATGTTGTGACTGGAATCCACAGAATAAAACGTGAATGAGATGCTACAGGTTGTCATCGACTAGACGACGACAAAAATGTTAACCAAATTGACACATCTTCGCTGAACTGACAATATTATTTTAGGAGTCAAGGGATTTAGCTTTTATTTTCTACTTCGATGTCAGGTCTTAAAAATGCAGGACAATCCTTCCACGTCAACTTGTATAACAGATTTCCATAATCTACAGGCACACCGGGTAATACTTCACATATGGTATTCACACACTGTTCTTCCCCTGCAATTTGTGATATATATATATGGGAGGGCAACTGTGAACATTTCTGAAGCGATGGGATTTCAGGTGTGTTGGGAATGATCACGTAATGAGTGTGAACCATGAGAGAGTGTTTTGTGTTCACTGCACACTCAGTTTTATTCATGTGTTCGTGATATTCAACTTCAGATTGCAACTTCTTAAAGTGGTGGTGGCGGTGACGTTGGTCGGAGCCATCCTCCTCCTCCCTGATTTGCCATACACATCGAGCTTGGAAAAAGAGACCAGCATTGGTAAACACGGCGACAGCACCACCCAGTTTCCAGAGGTGGGACAAAGTCATTGTCATGCAAGTCCAAGTCGAGTCTGAAGTCATCAAATTCATGACTCGAGTCTGACTCGAGTCCAAGTCACATGACTCGAGTCCACACCTCTGCCAGTTTCCGCACAGCTCCCTCGACCAATCCTTTAATTGCAAGGAGTCACGGCACTCGGTGATGCCATTTGAGTTCTTTACACTGATAATTCTAAACTAAACTGTTTTATTTGACCAGCCCACAGAGCTGTTAGCTTTTTTTCAGAAGCGACTTGGCCACAATTATAGCTTAACGAAGTGGCTTATCACGTGGTCATATAACAGACAAATATTCTTTAACCCATGTTTCTAAATATGGAGGAAAAACCGGAGGACCCAGAGAATAATCCACATGACCCTGGGGAGGACATGCAAACTCCAAATCAACACCAGGCATCAGGCTCAGGACCGAAATCATGACCTCCTGCATACCAGGCGAGGGAGATAACATCTTGCCATCACGGCGCCCCTAATTTAAACCCATATCAACAGAAATATGATTGTTGTTGCAGTCTGGAAACAAACTAATTTAACAACACGCAAATGTTCAGCATTGGACGTACAACAGCTATCAGCCGCATCCAGACCAACAGCTCAAAAGGACTGAATGCATTGCCGTTGTGTTACTTATACCACCAACTCAAGGGAGGTAAGAATATGCAGCCACCTTCCTAAATTTGCGACACATTTAGTTCTTCTCAGCTGGTGGTCTGGATACGGCTCATATATTTTGTACATACATACCACGTACAACATTGTGTATTGTTGAACCCATTGTGTTTCCAGCCCCGTGTTAATGTTTCTGTTGCGATGGATTCCCTCATCATTTACAGATCTGAAATCACACAACCCGACTCAAATGGTTAAGCGTATATCGCCTCTCTTCATGTTAATGATGTAAACCACCTCTCGGTAGTTTAAATCATTAACATGAAGTACCGAGCCGCCCTCCTTCACACGGGGGCGCTTTACACACGATGAGCGCATCGCATCCCATTTCAAAAGGCACCCTCAAAAGCAGCTGTCCCCTTGGGCAATAGGTGACTCAGCACCTGGCCTGCAATCGGGTAGTAGTCTGCCAGTCGCGGGCGATGGATGATTGCTACTGGGTGAGTATTCCAATGGAGTAAGTTAGTAGATTGTGATCACAATACCTGCACGCTCGTTTAGAATGACGTCATGAGGTATTTGTTCACGTTCACCGTGAAGCAAATGGCGCGTGTCGAGTGGTCGATGCACACCGCGGTATTAAGCAGGGAGGCCCGCACATGTCAACCGCAAACCTCTGCAACACGCGGCAAAAACACTCTCGCCTGGTGCTGTCACTGCCCATTGCTTTCGTCATCCTCATTCTCATCGTCATTGCCATCATCATCAGCAGCATTATTATTCTTGTGTGTTGGCCATGGTACAAGTGCAATTGAGAAAGATGGCGGTGATATTTATAATTTTCAAGATTTTAAATTAATCCCAAAAAATGAGCAATTCCTAATGAAGCCAAGGGCTTCAAAACCACCTAGACTGTATGGGCTACCAAAGATCCATAAAGTCGGCATCCCTTTACGACCTATAGTCAGTACAATTGGCTCTGCCACCTATAAATTAGCAAAATATGTAACTAAACAAATTCAGCCTTACATCGGTAGGACATCATCATTCATAAGAAATTCAGAACATCTTGTGAATATGATCAAAGATATTAAACTTAACCCTAATGATATTTTGGTGAGTTTTGATGTGATTTCGCTATTCACTAAGGTTCCAGTGAGCGAGTCGCTTAAATTGCTTGATACACTGGTAAAGAATACAGGTTTACCAAAAGATATTCCGAAACTCGCAGACCATTGTTTAAATAACACTTACTTCTTATGGAGAGGCGAATTCTTTAAACAAAGGGAGGGAGCAGCAATGGGCTCTCCTTTATCTCCTGCTATAGCAAATTTGTACATGGAAAACTTTGAAACCAGAGCACTTGCCTCGAGCACATTAAAACCATCCTTTTGGTTTAGATATGTGGATGACACTTTGGTTGTCTGGCCACATGGTAAAGATACACTTAACGATTTTCTAAATCATCTCAATGCACAAAACCCGGCCATTCAGTTCACCATGGAAATGGAGGTGAATAACACACTCCCGTTCCTGGATATTTTACTTGGGCATGGCCCAAACGGTAAAATAACACACAGCGTTTACAGAAAGCCAACGCACACTGATGCCTATCTGAATGCAGATTCGCATCATCACCCAGCTCAGAAATCCTCTCTTATCAAGACGCTCATACATCGGGCTAAAACAGTGTCAGATGGTGAAAGTCTAGTGAGAGAGATTAAACATGTTAAAGAAGCACTACGACAGAATGGCTACAATAATGCTCAAATTAACAGAGCACTAAAAGCCAAATCACGATCGCAAAGCAACACTGCTGAAAGCGATCAGATTATTAAAACAATAAAAATACCATTTATCTCAGGAGTAACTGATAAATTAGCCCGTGTTTTGCAAAAGCAAAACATTACAGTAAGATTTGGTACAGTACACAAAATTCAACAACTAGTAACGTGCACTAAAGACGAATTACCTAAATTATCAACAGAAGGTGTATATCGGATTAATTGTGTATGTGGCAGATGCTATATTGGACAGACAGGGCGTAACGTTAGTGTAAGACTAAAAGAACACCAGAGAAATATTAAACTATCACAAACACAACTGTCGGCAGTAGCAGAACATGCATGCCAACAGGGACACTCAATTGATTTTGACAACGTGGAAGTGTTGTGTAAAACTAGTTACTACTGGCAAAGACTAATTAGAGAATCGATTGAAATTGAGAGAAACAGAAATAACTTTAATCGCTCAGACAGCTACAGGCTTAGTGCGGCCTGGAAGCGTATTATTAAATAAGATACATTACAATTACTTATAAGGGAAACAACCACTAACTGATTACTAATGTAGCATAATCACAATAAAACACATTCCAAATGATTACTAATCTACAACTCGCATCGTAACAATAGCCTGATTACTAATCTAGTATATAATTACAATCACTCCCCCCTTGAATCTTTGCACCTGATGAGTTAATGAGTTAATGATGACGTCATCCTGCTGCTGCTCTATATAAGAACGGGAGACACAGGAGAGCCTCACCATTCTGGCGAATTGCCCGATGATGCTGGTTGTAATTACCAGCGAAACGTCGTACTCAAATTGTGAATGTTGTTGCTTCAACACACCGGTGGGCTAAAGCAGTGAACTATTTGTCTTTGTCAACGTGACACATTTTTTACTGATTGGCCGTGTCGGGTGGTGGAGGGTTACGACACATTTATAAATAAACGCGATCTAAACCCAAAAATCGTTGATTATGAAGATTTTAAATGTTGATAACTATAAGAACAATTATGACACTGCTGATGATGCTGTACTGATGCTGCTAATGATGGCGCTGTGTTGATGTTCTTCCTTCTGCTGCTGCTGATGAAGATATTACTGCTGCTAATGATGCTGTGGCTGCTGATGATTATGGTGACGATGTCACTGCTGCAGATGATGATAATTCTGCTGCGAATACTGCTGCTGATGATGGTGCTGCTGCTGCTAATATTGTCACCCTGTCCACCATCCACAGGTACAAAGTTGCCACGTGGGAAATCACTGCTGTCGCCTGGCAATGTCAGTGCCTCGAATAAAGAGGCAGGGGCAATGCACACACACAAGGATTGGGGCATTATTCAAAGTGACTGCGTGGCCAATCACGACCTCATAGACACGGATTGGTTTAAATCTGTAGGTGACCGATTCAAAGGTAATTTTAGTACTCACTCGTTTGTCCACTTTTCCATTGACTCACTCATTCACTCACCCACTTCTTACTCAACCATTTACTCACTCACCCAGTCACCCACTCAATCACTCACCCTATCACTCACACACCAACTCACACAATCACGAAAGCAACAACAGCTTCCATTCGCCACTAAGTGGCGTTGATGTCACCATGGCACTTGTACCAGAGCAGGTGAATTCCGAGGCCACGTAAAGTGTCGAAGGCTCGCTGACAGGAGGTCACAGGATAGACGTGTAGGTACCATGGGTCGACTGAAATGACTGGCAGATGCACCAGGTGTGCACCCTGCTGTGCCAACTTGCTGCATTTTAGCCGCCCGGCACTCCACTCCTTGTTGTGAGTGTCACTCCTCTACCCTCCGTTGTTGTTGGGGAGTGACTGCCTCCAACTACCCAGTA